TCTGACATACATGGGGTCACCATGAGTCAGAGTTGACCCAACAGCAACTGGTTTGGATTTTAGAGGCCTATTGGGGGTTCAAGATCATGGAAAGAGCAGCATGTAGGGAAGCTGGATTCTCATGAACCATAGAATCTCAGGAGAAGGCTCTGCTCAGGACCATGACCATTAATTACTCAGCTATCCCAAAGCCCCTGAGCATGGGCTCTAGGCCCCTCCCTGCAGAAAGACAGCCAGGGAGTGGAGAAAGACCTCCTTGGTCATTTAGTGTGTGTCCAGATTGCCCTTAGCCTGGTGAGCCTGGTGACAGCAGGAAGGTAGGTGGAAGTTTGGGGCACAGGCTGGAGGAGAGGGAAATGGAGCAGAAACAGACTTGCCAAGTCTTTCTTGGGAAGGTCTGAGTCACTTTGCTGGAGGCAGCTGGGGTCATGGCAGAATGTCACTGAGATGGCCAGGATGAGAAGAGGACAACTTAGCACCATACCTCAGAGTACTGCTTGCTGGGCCTGTGAGGGTGAAAATGGCAGCCATTGAGAACAGCCACAAAAGGACAGAAAGGCATGGTTTTCCAAAGGCAGCCTGTCCCTGAGAATTGCCAGTCATGGTGACAGGCCACAGTGGGAGGTGAGAAGGTATAGCAGTGTCTTATCTGGCCAAGGCTTTCAACCAGCTCCTCCTTACCTAGAGTTGCCAAGTAAAATACAAGTTGTCCGGTTAAATTTGAATTCCAAGTAAACACAAATAATATTTTAGTATAAGTATGTCCCAAATATTATGTGTATTTTTATTTGCTAAATCTGGCAACCCTATCCTTACCAAGTCTGTGAATAGCCCTGAGTCTCCCACCATTAAAACTGAATAAGCACACCCTTTCCCCAGTTCACTGGAAAAGTTAAATTGGTGGCTAGAAATGTCTTACTTGTAAGTTTTTTTCCACCCATAATGCCTCCTTCCACTCTGTGTACCTGTTACTGCATGCCTGTACTAGGATCTAACATAAGCTGGCAGCAAGCAGACTTGGCACAAGCTATCCATGCGGTTATTTGACAGAATATAGTAACAGTGCTTTTCTGCCAAGGGGCCAGGAATCCCAGGTGCTTTTCTGCTTGAGCAAATTCTTTGTTACAAGGCAAAAGCAGTCGTGTGGGGGAAACGGAGATCAGTATGGGCTCCAGTGTCCTGGGTGGATACTGCGTAGGGGCTGAAGAGGTTAAGACACAGAATCTATATTTCTTAGTCCCTCTTATGATGGGAAATTCTCCAGGACCTGTGTGTGTGGACCTCAAGGTTGGCAGGACAATCAAAGAGACACAGCCATTGAACTTCTTGAATGATCTTATTCCCATTGGTGCCCATTTGTAGGACCTGGCTGTCCTATGGGCCACTGTCTAGACTGTTTCATCTTGTCTTTAGGGCACTGTGGTGGTGGTGGGGGCTGGTACCCAGAAGGAAAGAGAGACCTGCTTGGAGAACTCATTTCCTCCTTGGGCTGTGCCTTGTGCCCTGTGTATTAAAGGGACTGCTCAGAGCTGGATAGAAGGAGAATCAGGCTTGATTGCTTGGGTCTATGCCCATGGAGATGCTTGGCCTTCAGATGGAAGCTCACTTGAGGCTGCAGACTTCTTTTTAGTAAAGGAAGAGCTGCAAAATCAGTAGTTGAGCTTGAACTTGGTGACTTTCCAGGATGGGAAAAGCAAGGGTGTTTTCTGTTCCCACAGCAGCATTCCCACCTCCCATCTCCCACGCTGCCAAAGGCCGGAATATGGCGGACAGAGAGCCTCCTGTCAGCACTTTAGCCCTATACCCAGCACCTGTGCCTGTGGGTGGGGTGGGGGCTTTTGATAGTTTCTTGAGTAGGTGTTAGAGGCCAGATAGTCTTGACTGTGAGGAGTTGCTACAGCTCTGGACACAGTCCTAGCCACTTCCTCCTGGAGCAACCAGGTCAGGCTTCAAAATCAGCAGCCCATTAAATCAGGGCAAGTGGTTTGTGTCCTAGAAAGAGCTTTAGACGGAGGCTCAGGCTATATGGGCTCTAGGAACAATTCTGATCCCTTAAATGTGCGAAATGGTTTCCTGTTTATCAAGCACATTTAATTTAATTTTCACAGTCCTATGAATGGAGTATTATGATTTCCATTCCTCTGCTGGGAAATCTGAGGCTCAGAAGGATTGAGTAAAACAGCCTGGTGAATGGGAAGCACTGGTTTGTTTAACACCGAGCAGCTGGATGTTCTTCAGGGCTGGACCATGGGGGTGCGGGTTCACCTGGAGCTGCTCTGAGAGATGAGCAGCTCTGTGAGCCCTGGGCTCTCTCCTCTGATGCAGGTCGAGCACTTGTTCCTCTTGGCTTCATCCAACTTGTGATGGTCCAGGCTTCTGAGATGGAAGTCCAGAGGAATTCCTCCTGTGAGTCCCCCTCCACACTTCCCTCTGAGAGGTGACCCTGCCGTCCACAACATGGATAAAGGCAAGGGACTGAAGTTGACTGAAAGACCTTCTCCTTTGACCAGCTTGTCCTGCTCTGGAGAGGGACGTGCCTGTCCCACAGCCCTGCAGACACTTGCCTGGACTCTGGCCCATGGTGGCCCTCCTGAGTACATAGGCTGAGAGTAGTGGAACTATCTGGAACAGCAGACACCTGAGAGA